CACTGTGCACGCTCCTGGAGGAGGCATGGGGGGCATGTGCCCCCCCCAGATTTGTATGTAAGGCGAGGATGGGCTGCCTGCTGCAGGCTTGGAGCCAGGGGTTGCACTGACCTCTTCCCGGCAAGGGGGTTGGGCTGGGGCTGTGCTCAAGGTGGGCAGGGGAGGGGCAGGCAGTGGCAGCGCTGGGAGGAGTGGATGTGGGGTGGCTACAAGGAATTTTGGGGTGGCTGTAGCCCACCCTGCAACTCCCCGTCCCCTGTAGTCACCCCTCCAAGCTCCGCTGCCACCTGCTCCAACCTCACCCAGCCCTAGCACAGCCCCAGCCCCCCCACCGAGAAGAGGCTGGCGCTACCCCTGGCCCTGAGCCCACAGTGGGCAGCCTGCCCTCGCCCCACACACAAATCCGGGGGGCACATGCTCCCCATGCCTCCCCCCCCAGAGATGCACACAGCAGTGGGGAGCTGCCCCCCTTCCCCACCCCCCAGATGAGCTGCTGATGGCCCCATCCCATTCCCGGCAGGGTCACATTCACTGCCCTGGCTGGGCAACACCTGCCCCTGCCCCCACCCTACTCCCTCCCTCACTGTGGGGGGGGGGGCCTCAATCTAGCCCCCCACCCCCTTTTCCCCCACAGCCCAGAGATGCACACAGCAGTGGGGAGCTGCCCCCCTTCCCCACCCCCCAGATGAGCTGCTGATGGCCCCATCCCATTCCCGGCAGGGTCACATTCACTGCCCTGGCTGGGCAACACCTGCCCCTGCCCCCACCCTACTCCCTCCCTCACTGTGGGGGGGGGGGCCTCAATCTAGCCCCCCACCCCCTTTTCCCCCACAGACTTACTGGCCAGACTCTGCTCTCCCAGCTGCCAGACTGCATTCCTGTAAATCAGCTACTGGCTGATATGGCTGGTTAATAATCGGCCATTGGTATCAGCCAAGAAAATATTGGTGCACCCCTAGGATGAAGTGGTAGGTGAAACAGTTACCAAGCACATACACTGTAGCTTGAACAGTCAAAGATTTTGACATATGGTGAAAACTGGACAACAGGGAGGAGTGACATGACTACAGCAGCAAATGTAAACAATAAAGTTTACTGTAATATATGCCTATAAGCTACCTGGGCACCAGTGAAAAGCAGGGGAATAGTTTACATTTATAGCAGGACTTCTCATACAGTTCCTGTGTAGGAACTGTATGTGTGAAGAAGTGAGAATATTCCCCGATGAAAGGAATGCTGGGAGTGCTGGGGAAGACTGGACACTGTTCTCATGACTATGTTCTATCCTCGCTAAAAGTAAAAGAAAAAACAAAAAGTCAGGAAGCCTACAATGCAGCTCTCTATTGTCCTGCAGTCACCACTGAGGCTTGTTTGTCACGTATTTGCTACATCTAACCCAGGTTTCAACAAATCAGAACATGTTGTATGGAGACAAAATCTATTGCTTGTAAAACAAGCCCT